TAGTGGGGTGCACCTTAGCGAGCATGGAAATAACTGCTGTCATAGCTTCTTTCTTGTTCTGCTAAAAGTAGGATGGGAGCTTAGGCGCGTTTATCGCACGGGAGAAATCCTTTTGAATTTTTGAAGTATGGGGAAATGCGGGAATTGGGACTTTAATTGCGTTAGGAACTGGGGGCATCGTGATTTGTCGCGGGTTTTGCCGCTGTAACTGCACAATGCTCCTTACTCGTGCGCACTTTGCTACGTCCTGTCCTGCTCTCTGTTCCCGCCGCGCCTAAATTCTAATCGCAACTGTAATCTCTTCTTGCTCCTTCTTGGCAAGCGCGGGTGTAACTGTAATCCTCTCCCTCTTGATTTCCTTCCGCGCTAAAACCTGCACCTCTCTGCTGTCTATCTCATTGGCCAAGAAGATGCATGACTGGATCGAAGCGTGGCGAGTGGCTATGTCCCCCACGCCGCGGCCCGGTCATGCACCTGTAGGCACTTCCTCCTTCCTTCCTTCTCCCGCTTCAGCATAATCCAGAATTACCTCTCACAAATACAGAGATCTATAAATCTTGCAAGCGCGACTAATTCACTCTCTAATCTACACTTGGAGTTAGCGCGGTCGAGAGGAGGCTAACGGGCAGAGACAGATTGGTAGTAGGGAGTTAACATTATAGACAGGTATCTGCCTCAAAGGACCTCGAAATTAGGCCAGCGGGAGTGAAAGGATTTCATGATGTACCAGAGTCCCAGGTCCCAGGTCCTAGTCCCAGGTCCTAGTCTCAAGTCCCAGGTCCCAGTCCTGAGTCCCAGGTCCTTGACCCAAATCCCATTCCGTGTTCTATTAGTGGTTCCAGCCACTTGTACAATGTGCATGAATACTCTAGAAGAGTAGTTCGTTTGTACCATGATGGCAGAGGCCTATGTGGGCTAGTTAAGTAGATTGTGGTAGGAAGTCCCTGGTAGATAACAGTTATGGGTTGAAGAGTCTGTCTTTAGGAGGCACCACAACTTCAGCCAGGATCACCAGAGCCGTTAGGCCAGGTGTCAGTCGATTCATGCAAGCAGCCAACCCAAGAAAGTCCATGAGCTTCCAGAAGCAGGGAAACAAGGCGAGAGGTCCGACCCATAAGCAACAGAAGATGTCTGGAAGACGGATCAGCAAATATAAAAGCTCACCAGCACCAGCCAGCGGGATCAACTATTCATGAGCAAATTGCGGATGCGCTGCAGGTTGATTGTGAGACAGTGCGACGTGGATGGGAGGGGGCGCTAGCGGAGGAGCGAGTGGCCAGTGAGGAAGGAGGCCTCTGGTTACCATAGCTAGGGAGGAGGAAGAAGACGGCCATAGCCGCGGAGGTTCGGAGGAGTACATCGCAGCCGTATTCAGGGTGGATCCACGAGAGAGAGGGAGGTTGAGCAATACAAGACATGAGAGAGAGAGAGAGAGAGAGAGAGAGAGAGAGAGAGAGAGAGAGAGAGAGAGAGAGAGAGAGAGAGAGAGAGNGAGAGAGAGAGAGAGAGAGAGAGAGAGAGAGAGAGAGAGAGAGAGAGAGAGAGAGAGAGAGTCACACATGAGTGAGAGGGGAGAGCAGTTACATACCTGATTCGTACTTGATTGGTGTGCGGCGGGTGCTGCTGGAGGATACAAACAATTTCTTTGTCTAATACAATTATAAGTCGGTGTGGATTTCAGTGAAGCGACTTTGGTTTTCATCTCTCGATGTCCAGTGTGACTTCTCACATGAATGTTCTACTGCGCGTGGTGTGTGATCGCATGCTGATTGGGAGTTGAATCATTGCATCAGCTCTACATTTCAACAATTCATGGGTGTACTGACTGGCAGCGTAAAAACGTTTTTTAAATGCTACTCTGAGCATGCCCGGAGCTCCCGCACAGCCAACATCGGGGGGGGGTACAGCTGAACATCGTAGACGATATGCAAACTCAGTTCTGACTGAGGGCATACTCACTCATGCTACCATTTTCCTAAATATCTGAGCGTAGTTATGGCCAGACTCGAAGCAATGTCAAACCCCACCATCCACAAAGGCCCCACTGCATCGGACAGTCGTACCTCACATTTGTGCTTCCACGGTTCATTGTGATCGTAGAGGAACTCCCCCCCCCCCCCCCCCCAACTCTCCCCGCACCCACTACTTCTACGCTTCATATGTTCAACCATCACGTCGTCAAAAAACAGGCCACAGCTAGCATGCATCGTTCAACAATCCATATGTTTTTTTTCATGGCAACCGGCCGGACGTCTGGACCGGAATCCAGACGGTCCGGTTGTCTGGGTATGGGTCCGGTGTCTGGTCCCGTAGGTCTGGATTGGGCCCAATTTTGAAAAATTCATTTTTTTTTTTGGGGGGGGGGCCTAGGACGTTTTTCGGGTAATATGTTTTTTTAAACTATTGGTCCATTTTCAGATTTCGAGTCTTTTTTGACTCATTTTGAGGCATAAAAGAGTGAGAGAGGAGAAAAAGAGAAAGTGACCTAACAGTCATAACCCAACTTGGCCAACTGTCCTTCAGCCTCCATAAAGGCCAAACTAAGTAACAAGGTACCTCAAAATTTTCCTTCTGCTTCTGATCAAATACAATCAGAGAGCGCAGTATGATGAAGATTGTATGCTGTGTTCGGGAAGAATGAATCGTGTGTCAAGCTTTTTCATTTCTGATTACTTTCTTTTTTTTCTTTTTTTTCCAACTGTCCTTTTTAGTTGATTTCTTTTCCTCTTTCTTTTGAAAAAAAAAAAAAGTTAAAAAACTGTAGACACATGCATTTTTGGGGTGGTCTGTTGTGAATGTGAACATACTCCAATTTGACTACCTGAGGGGATACACACACTTGGACTTTCCTGGATGCATGTGGGCTCAACTACAGTCACATTCAGTCAAGGAAGTGCTCGCGGGAGTTAATACCCCAAGTTATCTCTCGGAAATGCAGGCTAACTCTTAAAGCCTGGGTTGCAAAACACAAGGAGAGTCTACGAAAAAAAGAGCACCCCCCCTGTTTCCCCCCCCCACGAGCATTCACCACCGACAAGGGCGCCTTCGGCGCCGCTGTTGCCCCCTCCTGCCCTCCTTTCCCCGTTCACTCTTCCCCTTTCGCTCTTGCTGATGAAAGATGAAACTCTGAAAGAGCAACAAAATCACTGCAGAAGTTAGTTATGTAAAGTCTGAGACATGAAAAAACCTGAAAATTAAACCACCAGTACGTTTCCCAACTAGAAAATCAAAGTTTCAGCGTGCAGGCTGCCACAACTCTCGGGAAGTACCGGGGTGCCATGTCGCTGGATGTCCATCCAGGCAAAAGGACCAAGGATCAGATCTTTCAATCTTTGTGTTAACCGGGTCCCCATTGGCGGCCCCAACCCTGGCTGGGGGCAACATGTGATTCCTTCACTGTGAGAGGTAACTAAGCTTGCAGGGGTCTCCAGTATAAGCCTGTGAAGTGAGTAGTAGTGGTAGGTAGGTAGTGAAAGGTGAATTGAGAGAAAAATATAGCTTAGTTAAAAAAACAAGTGGGATCGGAAACAGATTGTAGTTGATGGAGGCAAATTACAAGTGCAATGCACACTCATTTTGGGCAAAACCAGCTAACAACTAAGGTCACTGTCAATAAATTCTAAGGCCTCTCTCCTTCCCATCTTCCCCTCCCTCCCCTCGCCCTCCGCCCCCAACCAAAGGAAAAATCCAGGTGGGAAAAGCCATAACTTTTGCAGCTCTTTGTTAACCAGACCTCAATCACGTGCCTCGTCGCAACAGTGAAGACCAAGCTGCGGAAACAAATTGATATCTTCGCATGTAGTTCCGGACATCGTAGACCAAGAAAGTTCTAGAAAGAACTTCAAAGAAGATAAAAGACAGTATTTAAAGACCTGAAACCATAGTTGCGCCGCACCAGTGCGCAGTGCGGGGCGGGGCGCACTGCGCTGTGCGCTGGATGACAGCACGCGCACTGTGCGCAGTGCGGTCCGATGTGCGCGGTGCGCACGCTGAGGGAGGTGCGCCCTGTGCACCAAAAAAAAAACAATCGGCACG